ACGTATTAGAAAATTGTGCAACTAAAGCACGAAAAGATCCACAAGCAATACTTCAAGCACTTAATATTGTTAAACAAACGAATTTAACTACTCAACAACAAGCACCACCGCCATCATCATCTTCATGATCTTTCTTCGTACTCTTCCTTTATCTATCATTCTGAACAGTGGAATATTTCTTTCGACCATCCAAATTTTGCTTTTTTTTTTAATCTTTTCTGTTCATTTTTACTTTCATGAAAATTTATTTCTAATTCTGATTTCACTTCATCACTCTTTTGTTCATCCTTCTTGCTATGTATATGTTTGTTGTATCAAAAGCTATAAGCAGTCCAAATAAACAAAAACCGCATTTTATTTTACAAATTTATTATTTACATGAGATGAATTATGTTTACAATATAGTTCTTAATCACAAAACGTCTCGAATTCACGGTAGAACATCCAATGGAACATAAAAGACTTAATAGTATAATCTCAAATGAGCAAAAAATAAGTGTAGATGGCCGACATAACTAGTCTGAAATGTTTCGTAATAGCCGTCATGCCTAGTCTAAAACGTTTTACACATTTGTCATGAGTAGTAGTCCTTAGAAGAAATGTCCTTTAATCAGGTTTAGATTAATCCTCATAGTCTTTGAATCCCGCCATGTTTAGTTCGTTTTGTCTATCTTCTCCATCCAGACTAGTCCGTAGAACAAAAAAGAAGAAGATGAAATGTTAATTCGAACATTCGACTCGACAGTATTTAATATCTGACGATTTATCTGACAACAGATCATGACTTAACGATAGACTGGCGTCAGTTTAAACAGTGTGAGTAGCAGAGTGACGTGTCTTCATCTACTAGGCGATTTGAAACCCATCGAAGACGAGCGACTCAACTAGTGTGAAATGTCTTCAATGGTAGCCAGGACTTGTCTAGTGTATCATCTATGCATGTGAAGACTAGTCTGTCTTTTTCGAAAATGTTATGTTAATTCTAATCCACGCTAGTCTAAAAACTCCAGGTAACTTATTTTGTTTGGAATAAACTGTCCATATATAGATGCACTTACATCTGAATGCTGTTGGTTTCTGTCGGTTTCGAGAATAACGCTGGTAAATCACAGTTGACTGATGATTCTGTAACTTGATACAGTTTTACAGATAAATAAAATAATAATACTGTTTTTGATGAAGATCGTTTTTTAAATCTCTATAGAACCTATGAGAACAGAAAGACGACAAGACGCACAGTATAAAAAACGGATCTGTCGTTGCAAGTGTTCACATTCAAGAAACTAGTCAAATTATGATAGTTTCTCGACTTACAGTTTTTGTGCATTTACTTTTTTTTGTCTATACATAGATGTTATTCTTGTTATACTTGGTCATAATACACAATCAACTCAGATTGTTAATCGTTTTGCATGTCTTCTCACAATTTTTGGTTGATAGACAGTAAAAATCTATACAGTTTTCTAACAATTGACATCTTAATGATGTCGACAGAAATTTAGTATTTCATTTACGAACACTACCGCAGAAAAGTCTTTTAAAAACTGTAAAAGTTCTACTTTTGATTGTTACAATGAGCTGCTTAATCAATTTTATTCTATGTTGACATGTAAATTAGTAGCATAAAGAATATTTATTCAATTCTTAATCTTTATGGCCAGTACTATTTCCACAAAGTTGTTGTTCTTTCGACGAACCAAGTATACTTTTATCCACATTATTAATTTTTATCATCGGCGTGATAGAAGTTGTATATGCTACCTAGGTGAAATTCACTATATGGGTTCTTATTGAATCCCTCAACTATCCAACAATATCAGATAGTCGGCATTTCATTATATCCGACTATAGGAAATCATGAATATCCTTCAGTTTCCGACAGTTTCCTTATATTGGTTTTTTTCGGATTCTGTTGATAGTATCCGATGATATCCGACAGTGGACATTCGTCGTATCCAATGAAATTCAACAGTAATAAAGTATATAATTTCGCTTTTTCTCATGATTATAAAAACATTTAAAATATTTTCTAGCTTTTATGAAGAAACGAAGCCATTTTCATTCAAGATAAATAAAATGTATCTAATTCTGACGAAGCCAATAAAAAAGTGACTATATAACGTGGTAATATAAATAGCATTCATTGTGGACTTTTGGACTCAATATGATGTCATTTAATACAAAAGGATGTTTCCTATTTTACTAAACAATCAATCGAACTTTGAAAGTTAGTTGTTTTCATATTTCACATCTTCATTTTTATTCAGATTTACTGTCCAAGTTTAAATTAAGTAATAAGTTAAAATAAAATCTAATTTTTCTCTTGATATATTTCATTTAGATTTTTTATGTGGCATGTAAATTCAGTGATTACTGCATGCTATCTATTCTTTTTGAATTCATTTTATCATTTCACCATATGATATGGCGGTAGGGTCAAACAAATATTTTGATTTGCTGTATAATCTTTATGAGGTTTCAAAGTACAACCTTTTCCGGTAAAAATTGGTATAAAGGAAATCGTTTTATTTTATTTTTCATTTTTTATTTATCTAGCTTTAGTATTCCACGTGTGAATTTAATGCTAAATTCGGATATTATCATTTTTTGTATTCTTTGCTTAGATGTGCTATGCAATGATGAAATGTCGTATTAGGTTTACATAAATAATTTACATTTTCTTAATTGTTTTTTCACTTTACCGTTTAATATTTCAATTCTAGAATCAACAGAAAATAAACGTATATCACCTTATTTTTTTTATCCAGATTGATTAGTCGAAGCTTAGAAATGATGGTAAGTCAAATAAAAAATGAGTTGAAATACAAGTTTTTTTTAAATAATATTATTTAGATTTATGATTGAAATATCGACATGATTGTAAATTTAAAAGAATATTACTATCTGTTTTATTATTATCTAGGTATATACAAATGGATGAAAATAGACTGCTTGAAACGTACTTTACTTTCATTTATTATCATATTCGATTGTTGAATAACAAGATAAGGGAATAAGAGAGGAAGAGAAATGGAAGGAGGAAGGAGAATCAAAAAGCCCTACTGTCCAAATGTAAATCCAACAGAATCCCGTCGGATTTTATGTGTATACAACGTTTTCTTGCGGTCGTATCTAATTATTGGAAATCATTGGAACTAACATCCGACAATTTATTATCGGAATTCGATACCAAGGGTTTCGAATATTTCCGACAGGATTCTATCGGAAGTTGCCGGATTCTTGTCGAAAAACATTAAATTATTCGGAGAATTCATAGGATCCGAGTCTAGAATTATTCGATCTGAGTAGCTATATCTATTTGATATCTATATATATGGGCGTGGGCAACCGACTTGGTACCCCATTTTGATACAGTCCTATTGTAAGGATAAAACATACTATTGTTCGGGTCATATAAGAGAGGATCCTAGATAACCCTGGATTGGCCCGAACAACATCATGTTTTATCCGTAGAATAGTAGAGAAAAGCTACCAACTCACCTGATAAGCTCGCAGCTTTTCTCAACTATTGTACGGATAAAACATGATGTTGTTCGGACCAATCCAGGGTTATCTAGGATCCTCTCTTATATGACCCGAACAATAGTATGTTTTATCCTTATAATAGGACTGTCTCAAAATGGGGTACCAAGTCGGTTGCCCACGCCCATATAATGTTCAGTGTGTGTCTGTCTGTGCCGGGTCAAAGGTTAAAGGTCACATAACGCTATAAGGGGAGATCTCCAGGGACTATTAAATGGGGTACTTATAGGTCCCCAAGGGCTATTCTATGGGGTACCCATAGGTCCTCAAGGGCTATCCTATGGAGGTACCCATAGGTCCTTAAGGGCCATCCTATGGGGGGTACCCATAGATCCCCAAGGGCTATTCTATGAGGGTACCCATAGGTCCTCAAGGGCCATTCTATGGGGGTACCCATAGGTCCTCAAGGACTATCCTATGAAGGTACCCATAGGTCCTCAAGGACTATCCTATGGGAGTACCCATAGGTCCTCAAGGGCTATCCTATGGCCGTACCCGTAGGTCCTCAAGGGCTATCCTATGGGGGTATTCATAGGTCTCCAAGGGCTATTATATTGTGATATGCATAGGCCCTGAAGGGAGTAAGGCAATATGGAGATAAGGCTACAAGGAATATAAGGCCGAAGGCTGCATGGACTATAAAAATATGTGCGATATGAGAGTATGAGGTCGTAGGGCAACCTATCTATATACATAATATCGAGTGTCTGTATGTATTTTACCGGATGAAAGGTTAAATGTCTGAGGTCATACATTAAAGGAGAAAGCAGTCGTGCAGTATGCACGGGTTCTCGCTAGTATATTAATATGGTTATATTTGAAAAAAGAAGTAATCGTTTCATAATGCATGAAATACTAATTTTATCTGTGCACAACGACCTGTCTCTTGTATTTATCGATGTGTCATAATATCATCTTTGAAGATACTTGCATATTTTCTTTACTTTGTCAGTTAAGAAATTATGAATAACAGTAATTGAAACTAACTTCGGTAAAAAAAAAGAATATGAATCTATCATTATGTATGCTTGAATAGTTACTGATTGTCTGTTTTGAATATTATAATGCAGAATGCAAACACTGATATCGTATATATTCCGTTCCATTTCTTGTTCAATAATAGGTAGAGAGTTTGATACTAGTCCATAACGAACTGATATAGACGCTGTATTAAGATATTTTTCTAAATAATCGTTTCCATAGAAGAATTTATCAGAAAAAAAAAAGAATTATTTTATATAATCGAGACCTAGGTGTATTCTCTTTCGATGTAGAATAAGTGAAAAGCAGAATCATTGACAATTCATGCGATTGCACACTTGAAGATAATTACTTGATTATCTTTTATAAATATTGTCAATTCTTGACTCATATGTATTTATAAATAAAGTTTAAAAAAAATGCCCCACGATCGATAAATAAACTTTAAAAAGAATAATAACAATTCATCTGACATATTATTTTTTCCGTTCACATATATGTCTAATAACATCACGCATAGTTCCTGCTTGTGGCCATAAACTATCAAGAATAAATTCGGCTTGTTTTCTTTTCGTATCAATACGTTTTCGAGTTTTCTCAATACCTAACAAACTAACATAGGTAATTGTTTGATTTTGTAGATCGATATTTGTTAATTTTCCAGTTTCATCTATATTACCTTCAACATCAAGTAAATCATCTTTCATTTGAAATAAAATTCCCATTAATTTACCCAATTCACGAAGACGTTCTAATGGGACATTTAGAGATTTATCTTGTTCGGCAAGTATAACTGGACAAATAAGAGCGATTTCAATAGCTTTACCAGTTTTTAATTCAGCAATATGATCAAGTTCATGAATAGTTAAGGATTTTTTCATTCTTGCTGCTTGTAAATCGAGAAATTGTCCATGACAAAGTGCATCCATTGATTCTGACATTTCAGCAGTAACTCGATTAATACTTTCATATGAAAAACCTTGTTGCCTAAGATCAACAGTAACTAATCGAATTGCATGTGCAATTAAATTAATAGCAGCTAATTGAGCTCGTCCTTCAGTTAATGATGGGGGTATTTCATCATTATCACTTTCAATAGGCATATGAAGTGTTGGTTGACCTCGTCTTAGTGGTGCATTATCTTGTGCCGGCAAATCATCAAATATCAAACTACTTGTATGAAGATATTCAATAGCTCGTGCAAGAGGTATTACACGTTCAATATCAACATTGTAGATTTGTGCAACCATAAGAAGCATTAATGGTCGAAGACGTTTTCCACCAGCTTTTAAACTATGATTAATACCACGAATAAGTGGATCATGTTCATTTGTTTTTATTGTTATATGTCTTTCTATTAAAGATAAATGATCATATGCAAATGTTTCGACTGTTCGATGATTACTTGAATAATGAATAGCAAATTTATTTATAAGACGAAATATTGCTTTTTCTGGATCACTAACACGATCGAATAGATTTACTAATGAAAAAGCATATTTATACATATCTGGATATGATTTTGCAGTAAATATTGTTAAAAATTCATTTAAATCATTTTTTAATGATCGTAATGTTCTTATAATTCGACGGCCTAAAAATGCACCAGTGTCTTTTTCTCGATGACTTTGTATATATAAATCTTCACAAACGAAGAGAAAAACAAAAAATGGATTTAATATTGAATCATTATGTTTAGCAAAGTAAGTAACAGGTGTTATTGATTTTTCTCGACGATCTTCATCAAAATCACGACAATCATCTGTTAATTGTCCTAAAAATGGCATTGTCCATAAACGTTGATGATCATTTACCATTCGTGCACCACCCATAAAAGCAGTGGCTGTATAGGTAAAATGAGATTTCAGTAATGGACCGATATAAATATCAATATCATTATTATATAATCGTTCCAGATTTTTTTTATCAGATCGTTGTGAACGAAGAAGCAAAGCAAGATCCGTGAACGTTTGTTCAGCTATACCATTTATGGATGTTAATTGTACAAGACTATGAAATGTTTCAAGTAAAAGTGAAGTTATGGGTAATTTAGGAAGAGATTGTTGATCAAGTTTATGACCACATAAAATACGTTCCATTTCGATCAACCATTTGTCCATGTCAATATTTTGTTGTTGTTGTTCATTTTGATTATCTTGTAATCCATCAACAAGTGCATAAGCAACACCATAATAAAAACCCATTTGTAATGCTTGAAAAAATTTTTTATCCAATTCATCATGTTCATTATTTTCAGCAAAACCATACAATCGAGCAACACCAACACCTATTGTTGTTCGAACAAGACGGCCAAATGCACCATGTTTTGTTAAATTAATTGGAAATGTTTGTAAAGCAATTTTCCATTTCTCTATTAACCATGTCCATTGATCAATATGAATAGTTGGTGAAAGAATATTTTCACATGATAAATCAGAATCAAATTGAGAAAATATAGATAGTGATATTTCAGGCATATCTGATTTTATTGAGTTTATAAGAATAGAAATTGTATTTAAAAACCTATGAATTAACAATGTAAATCGTTCCGTAACGGAATCTTTTTTATTATTTTGATTGTTTAACGAACGACCAAAGCGTAAGAACTAAAAAATATTCGATAGAGGTAAGTCTAAAATTACAACAAATAACAAAAAAAATCAAAATTTTATTTTACCATAAAATCATCAGCCAAGTTTTTTAAACTCATAGAGTAAGCATTTTTACTTCTAAGAATAAACAAGGCTTTCGAAAGAATATTTGATGGTGTTGATGCTTTATGTAATTCATCGATTTTTGGTCTTTTTTTCATTTGCTCCATTCCAAGATTGATCATTTCTTTAATTAAATTTAAATTTGGATATTGTCGTTTTTTATAATCATCAAGAATATTTTTTAAATATTCATGTCCAATGCTTTCTGCTTTATTATATTCCAAATTTAAATCAATTTTGTCGTTATTTTTTAATGGAAGACAACCATTTTCTAATGTTTTTGGCGTTAAACTTTCAATGATATATTTTTGATATATTAATAAAAGTTCATTTTCATTATTGTTTGTATCAGAAAATAAAATTTTAGCTCGTTTTATTTGTAATTTTCGCCATTGATTATGATTATTATTTGATGAACAAAAGTCATCTGTTAAAAATAATTTTTTTGATTCATTTTGAGAATCAATGAGTGATCGTAAATGTGGAAATTGTGAATTAATTCTGTCAAGTGTATCATCAATCCATTGAAGAATTTTTCCTTCAGATACATCACATGGTTCAAATTGTTTTGATAAATATTTAATATCACGTTTTAAACGTCGACGTATGTGAGAAAATGATGTTAAATGAAATAGAATTGTAGATTTTTCTCGAGAATATTCTTCTAATTTAGCGAAAACATATGCTTCTACTTTTAATTTTTGTTCACATTCGTGTTGTTCATTGTTTGAAACATCATTAATAGATTTATTTGAATTAATTGCAGGACGAATATGAGGGTGAATACGTGGCAATAAACAGCATCGGTGTGTATCAATTGTTTTAGGTACTAGTTTATCTGAAAGAAAAACAGGGAAGTCATGAAGGTCGGAGTATGCAGTGCAAACACATCAGAAAAATAACTTACATTCACTATGCATGATAGAAGAAAGAACGTGTTTTGATGTAAGAGACGAAACGTGTGTTCTTTACTGGATTTGGGTAGGATGGAAGAAAAAAAAATTTTTTTATGATGCAAATTTCACGACGTTGACTCTTCTTTTTATATTCCAACGATGCATCTATATAACATTCTGTATTGTTGTTTTATTATATTATGAAACATAAGTATAGGTATGTCTCGTTACCGTCACTAAAGAAACCAATGAAATCAGTCTGCAACATAAAAATCGAGTATTCAATATTTGAATATGTATATAAACGAGTTACTCATCTGGTGCAGTATGCTATGAGTATTTTCTTTTAACGATCGACGTCATCTAATGTTTCGACAATGACTGACGTCAAACAAGATTGCATTAATAACATTTTTTTCTTAAACGGGATGATTAATTCTGATTTCATTTCAATGAAAAATGGCATAGTAAGATAAATTCAATATTTAGTGAAAAACGTTATAAATTCAAAAATCAGTTCTTTTTTTCGATACAGTTTAATACTGCAGAACTCAAAATAGTCTTTTCAAAACTATCAAAATCCATCATATTTCAATATATAATAGCCATTTCATCGTGTTGTAACTGATTTTTTCTTGATAGTGTTTTCGAATCAAATTCTATGCTATTGCTCTGATTATTATTCTCTTCTTATCGAATAATGATGTCAAAGTATTAATCATGGACTAGCCAGGTGTCATTTACCTTTCATATCTTTATCAATAGTCACTTGTTGCTTTCATCTATGACAATAATATGAATGTAAAGGAGCACAATTTGATGCTGATTTATCATATTTAAATAAATGAAAATGATTATCTCACGATTTATTTTATTGTCCTATTCTTTTCTGTTTATCAGTGTTTGCTGTCTTGGTTAATATTGATTTATAATATTAGATTCTTATCTACTTACAAATATAAAAAAATCGACTTTATTTATCTATTGTCACAGTGTAATAAAATACTTTTTATTTTTCCACCTTTTTTTTATTGTTTTTCCAAGTTCCAGTTTAAGCAGACCAGTATCAATAAATCTGGGTACAAAAATTCTGGGTACAAATTTAAATTGTATAGTTATTATTATATCAAAGTTTTTTCTATCAAATTTCTTATCAAACATATTGAATATACTATTCACTATTAATTCGCTTGCTTAACTGATTCTAAACTTGATTTAAACTAATGAAGAAAAAAAAACAATTTAAAAATATGTATGAAGAATTTCGAGTATTTTGCCATCTCACTCATTCTCTATTGTCTTAATAGTTTTCTGTATACAGTTCAATTTGTTTCTTTTTAAAAAATGAAAATCTAATGAAGATATACGTATATTGATCGATTGAAGTAATAATTTATTATTATTTCTTATAATAATCTTACAAATAATGGATTTTTCTTTTGAAATTATTATTTTTTTTATTGAGATCATTAATGAAGAATGAAATCACTTCATAAATTTTATGACAATAAATTCAAATTCGTTATTGTTTGTTTATTTATTTTGTTAAAAATGCGTCAAATTTTATTATCATAGAAAAAAGAAATTTCTATTATTATTATGAATCTAAACAATATGCATGATTAATTATACGTTGAAAATAGGAACAATTTTGTTGAATTTTATTTCAAAAATCAGTTTATTAATAAATATTTAGAATAGCAATGAGATTAACATGATTGGTAATTTGATATTCATCTAAATTATCATAAAAATACGACTAATCTTAATTACACCTATAACTAAGTTGTTCTTATTTAAAATTATATTATTCTTCAGGATTAGCTGTTCAATATCTTATAAATCTTTTGAAACCGATTGACACAGTATTCAGAAGTGACATATTATGACATCTTTAAGCATGATGTCAACTATTTTATGGAGTATCTCAAAGTGGATGAATTAAAACATCTTCCATATCATAACATGGTTTTTTTTTTGTATTACTCGATGTAGATTACATCAAATATTTCAAAAACTAAGATTGTATCTAGAACTAAGTCGGGAATGATAAATATAAATATTGGTTTTATTTTAAATGCACATTTTTATTCGTATTCTCTTTATTTCTTTTAGAAAGTAGCTCTCGACACCATTGATTATCGGTAATATATGAAACTTTGTGTTTACCTATTCACGGATGATGAATATATGTAACAAATTTTATTCAATGACAAGATATTGTTTTTCATGTTCTGATTGAAGAGCTTGTTATGATTATTATTCGGAAATAGTTTCGGATCTTTTCTATGTATCGATGTCGATGTTCGCTTTATAATTTAATTCATTATGCAAACAGGAAAATGTGGTAAAGAAATTTCATCAAATAGTATTATTTATTTATGATAAAAGTCTTCAAGTTGTTTTGAAGCAGTATATCAAAAAAAGAAATTTCTAGTCATTTTAAATCTTATTATGTCTCCCAAATTACTAATATAATTATTATAGATATTATCATAATCTACATTTTGACAGATCTTCAACAATATCTTAACAACAGAACATTTACTAACATCTACTATATGCAACATATTATCAAGATTGGTGAGTAGAGTTACTTTAGTTTGAAAAAACTAATACAGAGATGAAAATTCTTATTCTAACATATTTATAAATATGACTTAGCAAAATTATCACACCTATATTGATTGCATACAGAACAGGTCATTAATCACAATACGATACAAGAATTAAAGTATCTTCGTTTCGGTTCATTCAAATAGAATGAATTTTTTTGCTAACACAATACAAGTTTACGTGAAGTTTTTCTTTTTTATACAAATAACATCAACAAATACTAATATTAAGTGCTATTGTTGTCTTTACGAAAGAAATTTTACCTGTCGTGAACAAAGATAAATACATGTGTCATGCTCCAAGATATTTTTCAATTGCCACCTAAGAAAATTAATAAAAAAAAGAAATCAAAACAAAAATTTATAAACAATATTACAGCGATGCACATAGAGTAAATCATCAGGATTAATTCGTTTAAAAATGAATGATTGCACAATATTTTGAATTTTCAAGTATGAAACACTGGTTTTTTTTCAAGAAAATTAAGAATTTGATATCTAAAGGTCTTCACTTATGCGTTTTAATTATCGCGCATGAGTTTCAACATAAAATCTAACAAGTGCTAAAAATTTATTCTATGTGCTTGAGCGTAATATTATTCATAAAGTTGTTTTTAATTTCTTTTTATTCTCTGAGGTGACAACTGAAAATTACCCTGAAGCTCTGTGAATGTGTTTTTTTCCTTGGCAATAGGTAAAAGTTCTTGAGTGAACTCAACAATAGTACTTGATATTAGTATTTATTTACGTTAATCATATAACGAAAAAAACATTAAATAAACTTTTTTTTTGCAGTAAACAAAAATTAAGCTTATTGAAATGAACCGGAACGGAAATATTTCCACTTTTTGTCGTTGCGTTATTAATAGCTCATTCTGAATAGTCAACTATTGTTAGAGAATAGAAAAACTTCTGAGAAATAAATCATTTTTTTTGTATTCATTTATTGCATTTGATGCTTATTAAGTTACGAAGAACAACGCAAATCAAGCAAAATATTGTCAAAAAGTAGTGTTGACAACATTTCCTGTGATGCTTTTATTATGACTCAGATGGATCTAGACAACAAGAGATGATGTTTGTCATTATTTGGTTTTCTCTTATATCTATTATATATTATTACACGATTGATTACATGCATCTTGAATCTTTTTTCGGCGATGTGTGAGGGGCAACTGCCTACTACGATTATACCGCATGGCGACGAGTAAGTGCTCGTTTTTCTTTATCACATCATTTTCTTTTTTCCTTATGTGTATGTGTTCAATAGAAACGAAGAGAAAAATAGGAGAAGAAAAAAGAGAAATAACGTTAAGAACAGACGTTCAATCGTTTGTCATGCATAGACATGTGTATTCTATCCTATCTGTTGTGTTTGGTTGAAAGACATAACTACTGGTCTTCTTTTTCTTTTCTTCATCCGTACACTCGACACACCACACCAATTCTTCATGTTCGATATAACCAAGGAAAGAAAATAACAACAATACACTTCTTACGATATGCATACTAGTGTAATGAATGTGTTTTTCTTGTATTACTCTGCACTGACTAATACAAAAATGGGCAATTTTTGGCTTTTTCTTTATTACCATGTCTAAATTCATAAATCCTCAAAATGTGTTTATCTTTCATATCACGTCAATAGAGCTAAATTTTCTTCCACTTCTGTTTTCTTTTCCTTCATTCGTCAGCTACTCATTTGTGCCGTACAAAAAAAGAAAACCTGATTTCCTCTATTTTTCTCTCGTTTTTGTTCTTCATTCTCATAGAGCTATACTTCATAACTCTAATAACTAACAATGATAATAATAGTACAGTACGTTTATAGACTTTTTAAAAATGAAGTAAATTATAAATTTCATTTCTTTTTTCTTTCAAGGCATACTTAAAATTTAGAATACATTTTCTCTTCTCATTAAACAAAACAAGACACAAAAGCAAATCAAAGTTATTCAATTTCAAACAAATACGTTTGTTAGTGAAAACAGGATGGGAGCAACAACATCAATACCTAACACAATCGATGTCAATGAAATCATTGCCAATACAGGTAAATGAAACAGAACATGAAAAAAAATTCATCATTAAAAATTAATTCAAATAAATAATTTCTATTTTTATTTTTGATATTTTAGGTCTTTCAAAAAAACAAATTGGTTCATTATGGACTCGGTTTTATGAACTTGATCGTGATGCTCGTGGTGATACTGAAGGATATAAAGGATATTTAGATGCCGATGATTTAGGTCGTCTACGAAAATTCGATGAAAATCCAATTGCATCACGATTAATAAAAGTTATTTTTGATGATTTTGGCTCAAATGGTAAATTAACATTTTCTCAATTTGTTCATTTTATGAGTACATTTGCTCAACGTAAACGAACTGGACATCATCAAGAACGTCA